TGAAGCCGAACATCTGCAAGGAATGGAAGACAGGCAAATGAGAATTCCATCCTCATGTATGTGTCCCTTTTGCATCTTGGAGGTTTGCTGGACCAAGGAAAGATTGGATAGCAATCTCAAACACCTTGTCTCTCCAGGGGATAGGACATGGAATGATAGATTTAAATTTCAGGAAGCAATTAAAATGGGGAAATCACTTTTCTAACTATGATCAGTTTCCAAACTGTTATACCCTATTCCCCCCTATTGCACACTATTCTATCATATTCCTCTCTATTCCTTAACAGTGGAAGCAATTCACCATTGCTGAAAACGTTGAAGCCAAGGCTAGGCAACCATCTGTGTAGGATCCTTTAATTTGGAATCTTGTGGTAAATAGGAATTTGGACTCAGTGGTCCAAATGCTCCTTTCCAACTCTGATTTTGGGACTCTTGCTTATCCTTAATGTGGGGTGGCGTGAATCCCTTCTTTAAAATTAACTAAATACAGCTAATTTTTTTCTGTCATATTAAAACTTAGTTCATTGTTAACTTCTGGATGAATCAGGGAGCAGTTTCCCTTACCATATGGGGAAAGAGTGACATTTAAAAAACGATTATAATAAGAAAGCATTCAATTACATGACCTAAAATCAGTGGTGGATTGCAGACGGTACGCCCCGGTACAGGCGTACCGGAGTCTGCATGGAGCACTGGGTACCTGCCCGCCCACGCTCCTTACCTGTCTTTAAACCCTTCAGCACTTCCGTAAACGCGCATGGCGCATGCACAATGCTCCGCCGAGCAGCTGGAGCGTTGTGGAGGCGTCGCTGGATGGTAAGATGCATGCGCATGTTGCACGCATGCTGCACGCAATGCACGTGTTCATGTGGAGGGCCCCGTTGCAACTGTACCAGTTGCAACGGGAACCGGAACCCACCACTGCCTCAAATGTACTATTTCTAAAATCCATTCTTCAAAGTGAGGAAAAAATATCCAAGGTGATGGCTGAAAACCACCCAATGGATGATGGGAAATAAGATGAAATTAAAGGACTAACAGATAAGTTCAACAGTCCATGATTATTTTTTACTTCAAGAAGTATCAAACTACTAATGGGTTGGCACAGGAGACAAATCAAAATAAGGGAATTCCTCTAAACCTCGGGGAGTCTGCAAGGATCAACTATCACACTCTTATTTTCTTCCACTGACAGAAAATGTCCTATCTCTACCTATCTCTACCTCTGAAGTGCTTTGTAAATTGCCCTAGTGTCGCAGAACCTCCAATTTCATGGTTTCGAAGCAGCTTCTTGCTTGGATTTTTGAACCTTTGATGGATGTGATGCAATCAAAACTCGTTCAATCCTTTGAAGTTTCACACATGGACGGTTGCTTTTCCCTCATCTCGTCTCCCTCTTTCTTCCCACTCCACATTACTCTTCTTCATTTTCTACCATCGTGCTCCAAAAGACTCCCCATTATTCAGTTGAAGAGGACACAAAAATGGTACTTGGCCAGTGACTGACTGCCTTAAACTAACATATTCCAGCGTAGTCTGAGAAACTAAAGAAGGCTCCTTGCTTCTCTTTTTCACAAAATTATTTGGGGAGAAGCTGGGGGGACTGGTGCTTTATCCCTGCACGACCTTTTTGCATAGAGATAGTGGCTTAGAGGCTAAGATGCTAAGCTTGTCGATCAGAAAGTCGGCAGTTCAGGGGTTTGAATCCCTAGGGCCACATAACGGAGTGAGCTCCTGTTATTTGTCCCAGCTTCTGCCAATCTAGCAGTTCAAAAGAACGTAAAAAAAATAGGAACCACCTTTGGTGGGAAGGTAACAGCACTCTGTGCACCTTCGGTGTTTAGTCCTGCCAGCCACATGACCACAGAAACGTCTTCGGACAGCGCTGGCTCTTCAGCTTTGAAACAGAGATAAGCACTGCCCCCTAGAGCCAGAAACGACTAGCACGGATGTGCACAGAAACCTTTACCTTTTAAGTAGAACTAGTTATATTTATTTTATTTTTTACGCCTTTTTTACCCCTGCAATTTTAGGACTCTGAAGGAGTTTTATTATGAAGCCATATTAGAAACAGGAAGCCTGTGTGATTTCATTCAGGCATCCCAGAAACATGACTTGGAAATTTGAGTAGAAACTACAGTACTTACACCTAAATGCTCAGGCTAAGCCTCAGTGGCAATATGTCTTTGGCCAGTTATTTTCCACTTTATCTTGTTCAAACTCTGGTCCCACACTTCCATCAAGAAAGATAACTATCATTCCGATTTCACAAAAGGGGGAAACTGTTTTTGCATCGATATAAACATCAGACCCTAATCAGAATTTTATTATGCAACATGCATAGATTAGAAGCCGTGGACAGACACTGCTGGAAATAATTCTGCAACAGCATCCTCTACTGGCTAATTAATTGAGTAAACATTTAGAATAACTCTTCTTTTTAAAAAGAAAGCAATAATATTGCTAAGCAGATGCTTAATACTGAATAAGTTGAAAACTTTGATGCTGTCTTCCAAGAACTGGTTTATAAATTATCCTGTAACCACTGGTTTTCTTGCAAGTTGATTTAATCTGAATAGTACTAAAATAAAAGTTTGTGGATGAGAAACGATAGTGAACAAAATGTTATATTTAACATTTAATAAGCACTACATCTGATATGCTTTTCTCCAAATTATGCAAAGGAAAGGAACATACAACTGCTAAGAGTTCTAAGTTTCCCTTTGGTGAATTAGACATACTGTTCTATTTGAATTAAAGAAAATGCTTTTATTGAATACAGAATAACTTTCCATTTGTTCAGACCACATGGAAAGTCAGCCCATTTCTATTTCTGGGTGCTAAAAAATGTGTCATGTTCAGGATAATTTTAAAAACTGGTTCCCCAACTTCTGGGCTGTGGACTGGTAATGGTTCGTGGCTTGGGAACCGTACCAAACAAGCAAAGCTTTATTTGCACATGAGCCAGAAAGGTTTGGGGCTCTGCTTCAGGTCTCCCCACTCACCATTGAACTATTATACCCGGGAAATCAAGGAACTGTAATCCCAACCCATTTAAAATTTAACAAGTTGGGAAAACTCTCTTAGAACTCAGCATGGAACAATAAATTGCTGCATGGCAAATTTAGGTAACCAGAAACACAGGTTTATCCAAGGCCTAGTCTTGATCCATCAAATTTGACTAGTGCCATCCTATCTCTAAAGGGACGTGGTGGCTCAATGGGTAAGACACTGAGCTTGTCGATCAGAAAGGTCGGCAGTTTGGCTGTTCGAATCCCTAGTGCCACGTAACGGATTGAGCTCCTGTTACTTGTCCCAGCTTCTGCCAACCAGCAGTTCGAAAGCATGTAAAAATGCAAGTAGAAAAATAGGAACCACTTTTGGTGGGAAGGTAACAATGTTCTGTGTGCCTTTGGTGTTTAGTCATGTCAGCCACATGACAGCGCTGGCTCTTAAGCTTTAAAACAGAGATGAGCAGTGCCCCCTAGAGTCAGGAATGACTAGCACATATGTGTGAGGGGAACCTTTACCTTTACCCTCTTTCTAATTATCCCTTCCAGTGTAAAATTGAGGAAGTGGCATCGTTGCTAATGGAGAGGATTCTGGAGAATAGAAATTATCTGGACCAGTCTTTCTCAATCTTTTATCCCGCAGGTAACCCTAATCCTTGAAATAATTTCAGATCTCAAGGAACCCCTGCATCAATTAAAAAAAAAAACTCACAATTCACTTCTTTCCTACACCATCCACTTACATTTGTTTTCCTTTTTGCCATCATGTCTGACTTTCGGAGACTGCCTTGGCATGTCCCTGCAATTTTACTTGGCAAGAGAAGTACTTCAGAAGGGGTTTGCCATTACCTCCTTCTGAGGCCTGAGAGAAAGTGACTGGTCCAAGACTACCCAGCCACCTGTCTTTGCACTTGACAAGAATAGAATCACAATATCTTGGTTTCTAATCTAATGCTTTAACCACAGGGCATGGATCAGAAATTGTTTGCTCTAATAAGTGACCTGTGATAGGATTTGATTGAGGGCACCATATTAGTCTTCCTGGAATAGAAAAACAAATCTTGCAACCTTGAAGTCCACTTGTATTCATAGCTCTTGCTTGAACTGTGGATGGAGACAGCAGACAGGAGGGCTAGAACTTGGCGTTCTGACAGTGGTACTCATCACCTTGTCATCACTAGTTTAGAACACGGTAGTTTAGACTACATGGCACTTGCCTTGAAGACCACCTAGAACATTCAGGTGGTATAGAATGCAGCATTCTTAATGATCCATTGTGATACTGCCTAATTATACATCTCTACTGCAGAAGCAGTATCACTTACCTGTAGGGTTCTGAGTATAATTCAAAGTGATGTACAGTTCTTATGAAGCCCTATATAGTTCAAGGCTTGGCTACTTTAATGATTGCCCAATAATTTCTCCCTATCCTACCCAAACAACTAAGCTGCTCCTATTAAGGGTTCCAGGACATATAAAAGGGAGCCTGACAGAAATCATATTCTCCTCCTCTGGAAGAGCTTGCTGCTGGAGGCAAGGTTGGTCTCCATTCTAATTGGCCTTCAGGAAGCAGGTAAAAACTTTTTTTAAAAACATCTCAACCTTTGAGAAGCAATTATAAAGAGAGCTGGTGTACTCAGTAAAAGTTAGCTTACCACCTTTGGTACAGAATTGGAAAATCTGATTTATTGCATTTATTGTATTCATATATTTAGCATTGTGTTTTAATTCCTATTCAGCTTTCGGGAGGCGCCTGTTCTCTGTCTTAGTATGCAGTGAAAATATTCAACTACATCTAAATTTACCTTGCAGAATATTTGCTTAGAATTGGTCTCAGCACTAGATGCCACAGGTTGTTAAATGTTTTGCCATTAGTTTTTGTTACGCTCTTGAGCACTACATTTTTGTTATGCCTTGAGCACTACATTGTTTCCAATATTTGGGGATTCGCAGATTAAAGATACAAGAAACCACGATTCCAAAGTCAGCTGACGTTAAAATTGTTTTTATTATTGTTATAAAACAGAATTAAAGAAGCACAATATATTACACAGAAGTGAAGACTGTTAGGAGTACAAAACAAGAATTAACGCCCTAACCTGGAGCTAAATTCACATTTAGACAGATACAAAACCACTGAGTAGGCAGGATCAGAAGAACAAGTGTGTTCTGGATCTTGTGATAAAAATGCCACAATGAAATACTATGAAGGCTAATGATAGCCTCCCTTTATGGATTTGGTTGAAAAATTCTGGAACTTCAAATGTGGAAGAAGAGAAAATAGTAGTTAATTTTCTGACTTAAACATTGCAACAAACAGGAAGGAAAGCTGTATAAATAGAAAACCATAAAACACACTTTTAAATAAGAACAGGGTTCTCCTTTACGCCTGTCAAGCCACAAAATATATTTCCGTAAACCGCGTCTCAACAGTAAACTTCTTTACTGTACTTGCAGACTTGCAATAAACACTTTTTCTTGAAATATGCATGTATCTATTTTAAAAAATATAATTAAAAACCTTTTTATCTTCTAAAACTGCAAATATAACGGTGTTTTGGCTGAAATATAAACACATTATCTGCTTTCACGCAAACACAAGGTTGGCAAAAACCAGCCATGAATCTGGTTATTTCATTTCCATAGTGAGCATCTGTGACTCATCCTGGACAACTGCTACGGCAATGAGAGTGGCAGACATAAAGCTGCAGTTCTTGGGGAAAGTGTTCCTTGAGGAGCATACATGGGACAGGGGCAAACTTAAAGTTTATCCTTTTTTTTTAGTACACTTTTGATATCAGTCACAAACAGGTTTTTTTTTTTTAAATTTTGGTATAACTCATTTTAATGATGTTTTCTCAGCAATTTGCCCCTCACAATATAGCAGAACAAATTGAGCAGCTGCATATGTTACAACCTGCAAAATTTAGCTATTTTTTTTTGCACGTTGAATTAACTGTGTCTTGTGCAGCTCAATTAAAATAAAAAGTGCTCCGTCCTTCTGATGAAAGAAGCTATTTGACTTGCAATGTTCTTATATTAGCCCTTTATCACATAAAGTTCACATTTGATACAACAAGAGAAGTAAAGAGGTAGGAATAGAAACTGCAAATACAGATACCTAATTTGTTCATATACATAATACAAAAAGAATGCATTTGTATATCATTATCAAAACTGGTAATGTATCATTTCAAAAGAAGTGCCAGACCCTTTTTCTTCAGCAATGCAAGCTGTTTATAACCGGTTTTAGAATCTTAAAGAAATGAACGTAAGTAACCCTTACAAACAAAGACACAGTGAAATGGCAACAGAGAAGTTCAGAGCTTGTTTCATTCTCACACTCCAAAAATAACTTAATCTTTTCAGAAGAAGTAATGTTTTAAACAAATATATCATGGATTACAGACATGCTAAATAGTTAAAGTAACTAACAGGAACAAGGAAATGATCACAGTTTAAAATTATAAACAACTTCTATTAGGCATTCTTTGTTCTACTACTACATAAAAATATTTTAACCTTCATTGACAATTTTGTTTAGTTACTTTGCCATGTAAAATATTTGACAGACACATAGATCGTCAAACATAAGAAATTACATCCTAAAGAGGTCTACTGAAAATGTAATTTTCAGTATTCTGTAAACATATTAAACAGTTAAGAAACTAATGTGTTCTTCAGATTTATGCCAGGGGGCGGCGGCTTAGAAATGTAAGTTAAATCAGTTAAATCTTGAAAGAACTACTGCAATTTTAATTTGTTGATTTCATTATCACTTTCAGTACCTAATTTTGATGGCCAAAAATCCATTTCTGAAATAAGTCTGAGGGATTACATGATTCCATACTTGGATGTTCTCTGTTTCCCGTAAGGCACATATTGGATGCTGCATTGTACAACAACTGATCCTAAAATATAAAAAAAATATCAATTTTAATCTACTTTCTCTAAAGAGATTAAAGAAGCATGTATGGCTTATCACCACACTTCACTTTTATATCATGTAACTAGAAATGTGAACGTTATTGTCATACCTGTACAGGTAGTCCTCGGCTTATGACCATTAGTACAGCGACTGACTGAAGTCACAGTGGTAGAGAACCAAGGGACTGGTCCCCAAAGTTACACCCATTGCACTACCCTCTGCTCATGTGATCAAAATTCGGGCCTTTGGTAGCTCACCTGCACTTACAACTGCCCCATCTATAGTCCCTGCCCCCCCCCCCCGCCCAGCTGACATTCACTGACTTCTTGCTCTGGCTGCTGACCAAGCATACTCCCGCTGCTGACTGCACCCTTACCCAAGTTGTGGATGGCAATTTCTTCATGTGAGCTGGGCAGTGGTGGGTTGCTAACCGGTTTACTACTGGTTTGCTCATGCGCAACGCATCCAGGCGGAGCCTCCTGCTGCCACCACTACCGGTTCAGCCGAACTGGACCAAACTGGCAGCAATCCACCTCTAGACCTGGGAAAATGGCCTCATGTGCCCAGCAGCTGCCTCGTAAAAGGTCAGCCGGGAACGCCATGTCAGGAGGAGGAGCAAGACGACAGTGAATATCAGCTGAGGTGGTAGAGCATGGGGTGGACAGGGGCCTCAGAGCTCAGGGGAGATTGTGGCTGGACTGGGGCAGCTGCAACTTCCTGGGATGACAAGAAGCCCCTTTGTGCTAAACTGCTGATCCAGACTGCGGCTGGGCTTTGTGCTGTGGTTCAGGGGCTTCTTGCAGCCCCAGAACCTTTGACAGACCAAGAAGCTCATTTCAGTGCACTGCTGGGATACGGCAGCTGAGGCCTCCAGAGATAGCAGGTGTGGCCCTGAACTGCACCGTATTCTTTCCATATCCTACATGGGATAGCACACATGCACTCTCTTTCCCTGGCTTCTTTGAACAAGCACCACACTGCAGCAACACCCCACTCGTGTGCAACTTGCACACCAGGCTCCCCAGGGCAACTCCACCCCATTCCACCCCCCAAAGCTTCCACATCTGTGAATCCCTCTGCTTCTCGCTTAATGTCCTGAGCATCTGGAGTTATGACAGCAACAGGACCACTGTCGCTATGTAATGCAATGAAGTCACATGATGTCAGGCTTACTACCACAATGGAAATTCATTCCCAACAGGGATCATAAATTGAGGACTATCTGTAAATGTGCTTCCTAGATTCTCTCTGCTCAAGATTTTGTAGCCTTAGTGCTTGTTTGAGTGCCAAAGAACCACCAAGAATGACAATTATAAATACTTTCAGACTCTGAGAACCAGTCCGGTTTAGTGTTAAGGTGACAGGCTAGAAACCCGGAGACCGTGAATTCTAGTTCTGTCTTAGGCACAAAGACATCTGGCTGATCTTAGGCCAGTCAATCTCTCTCTGCTTTGGAAAAAAAAAACTTTTGAAAATGTTGCCAAGAAAACTGCAGGCATTAGTCCAGGCAGCTGTCAAGAGTCAATATTCATTAAAAGGCATTCTCCACACACATACTCTAATACTGAAAGCAATTTAAACACTTATTCATGCGATTTAAAGAAATTCAGTGTGGGTAACAGTGTATATATTTGAAATAAAATGTGGCCTTAAAATTTAAGGAAGCTACTAAAATATGTAAAAACACTTAAAAATGTATACCTAAAATATCTTTAAAAAATTGAATTTAAAACATTGTCTGTAACAACCTGCCAAAAAGGGAATGGGAATTAAAAGACTTCACATATTTCGGACTGAAAATATTATTTCTCTGTGCCTGTTTTGTTTAAGACAATGAAAACAGTTGCCATTATGAAATTTAAATGAAATGCTATGATGAAAATATTCAAGATATATTTGGGCAAACTATAGTCACATACAGTCCCAGGAGCTTCCATGCAATCTGAGCAACCTTTCATTGGATCACTGCCTAGCTTTTTTTGGAAACAGCTGAAGAGTAGACTAACTGGTAGAACTCTTGGCTTGGACAAAGTTGGAGAGAAAATGATGAGTACATGAGCAAGAAGAAAAGATGCAATATGGTTGTGTGAGTTTTTGCTTACAAGAAAGTTGTGGATGTGAACCTTGAGGGAAAGAAGGATGCCCACCTCTGTAATCTTTTGTGTCTGATGGCAGGGGGCATGCTAAAGTAAGCCTGCACTATTTGATCTTTACTTAAATCATCTCTATCATTTTGGGACAGCCACCTTGAGGTGGCTAGTTTTGCAAGTTTTGCACTAAATAAATGTATTTTGCAGGGAAAAAAATACCTTTCGAAGCTCCCATTTCTCTTCTTCAGGAGTCTTGCTCATCTTTCCTTTGAAACCGCACTCATTAAGTTGTATTACTCCTTGAGAACTATGTAGGCATAGCTCCTTCTGAATATTGTGTCTAATTTCATGGTGTGCAGTGTACTCAAAATACTGTATAAACAAATGTTAACCATCACTCAAAAGAATAAGGATACAAATTCATTGCTCTAATTTCCAAAGAAACATTAATCAAATTCCAAAATTGCATTTTGCAGGTTGGGTATTTATGTCACCAAAGAGTAATGATTCATAGAAAGGATAACTGCCTATGTAAAATAATCCAGCCTTTCTCAACATTTTCCCCTGAAAACTTCAAAATTCACTTCTAACTTATATAATCCATGCTTCACAACATTTATAACAAAAAAGTGGCAAACTGGCAGCTGAGTTGCTGCCTGTAAAAATTCTCATCACTGTAAGCACTAGAACTGAGTGGTGTGGTGTTTAAAAATATATCGTGTAATATTTTTCAATCTTGTGGCACCCCAGTTGAGAAAGGCTGGCATCCTTTACATTAAAAAGATTATGTTAATACTAAAATATAATTTCCTTCAAGATGCACAAAGCAGAGAACTATGGAGAAGTTTGTATGTACCGATGGCAAATTCCCAAGAAACTAATCGGTAGAGAATAGAATTAGCCTGAAAGTCAGTGGAATATCTAATGATTCTATAATTAACAACTTTTAAAAATAATAAACTTTGGCAATTTCAGAAGGAAAGCTAAGATTTATTTATTGCTACTGAATTTTGGAAAAAGGAGGACTTAGTTTTGCCCAAACCATACTGAAAGTATCAATTAATAGCAAAGCGAGAAGAGTTTTTCTTTTGCTTTGATATTTAACAAATGTTTTAATAGAATAATAAGGAACATTCTAATCAATGATCCAGTAGTGGAACATTTTTTTCATTAGTGCAGCATATTGACACATGAATTTTAACATATTGTACTGCTCTTCAGCTTTTAACAAAAGCTGGCTTTGTGTCCAGGGATGCTCATTAGATATTCACCCATCTAGAAATGCAGAATAGTAGGTGGTTTTTACTACAAGGAAGAGCTCTCTGACCTCCCAGCATGAGGTTTTAAGTCTGACAGGACAGATGACTCGGGTCTGGTTGCTCAATCACACAGTGGCTCTCTCCTTGACAGCAAAAACTTCTAGAGGAAAGGGGGGAAAAAGCAGGAAGGAAGAGTCAAGGTTATCAAGTTGACAACACAGGAAAGAGAGAATAGACAAAAGGCCAAAGAGCTGAAGCAGAGACAGAAGCATCAAAGGAACTAGTTTAACATGGTCAAAAAGAAATTAAAAAAAAATCAGAATCAAAGCTATTAGGTCAGTTATTAGAAGATATACATTGGCTCTGGAACTGCTCTGACTTTGGCAGCTGAGGGGAGTAGTATGCTATACTAGACCAAGCTACCTTCTCCCAATACTTTATATGTATCCAATTCAGTCTAGTAAACTGGGAACGCTGCGGGTCCCATCAGTCAAGGAATGACAGGACCAGGAGATCTGCCTTCTCAGCAGAAGCCCCTGCCCTTTGGAGCATTCTCCCTTTGGAGCTCAGGATGGCCCTCAGTCTTTTAGTCTTTTGTAAAGCTTTAAAGATATGGCTATGTGCCTGAGATAAAGATCCTGAAAGTATTAGTGGCCTTGTTATCTGGTTGCAGTGTTAATTGTTACCTAATTATGAAGAGAACTTCCAGCTGCTTATATGTATAATTTACAACTGTTTTAATGTTTTAATTATTGTGATATTGTTTGCCGCCCAGAGTCAAATGGTTTGAAATGTCCATTACAGAAATTGAATAAATAAATATTGTATATGTCTGAAGGTGTGTCTATATGTGTATGCCTTGCTACCATTTTTTGGACAGGTGCAACACACAATCTCCTAGTCAACAAAAGATTGCCACTTATCATTTTGATTTCTTCTGGCATGACATAATATTATTACGAAATGATGCATTGTTAGTTCATAAAAGTATTCTGTGGGAAGCTAAAGGTGTCCAGGTGATAAACTCCCTCAACTTCTTTGCTAGTCAAGAAGGAAATGAGAGCTCCCCATACATTTCAGTGTTAACGGCTTCAGCAATAGCTGTAAAAGAAAAGACCTGGACAACGCTTTGTTCCTATATGTATAATTTGTATTAAAAAAATAAAACATTTTGAATTAAAAAAAGCAATAGCCATTTAAAAAATCTACAACAGAATCTTGACATGTTTGTTATCTAAACATTTTAAAAGCATTATTGTATTATTTAATTACAATATCTAAATAATGGTTTACCCATGGTTAAGTACTGTAGTTCAACTAACCCAATTTTCTGGTTCACACTGAATCAGAAACTAACCATGTGACCTGGAGTCAATGCAATACATTGCACTAAAGATGTAGATGCCGACTTGGTAAGGGATGCAAATATGCTTTGTGTAAAATGTAAAATGAAATTGTATAACATTAAGCATATAAAGTAATTTGACAATAATTCCCTATCCCTAAGGAATTGGGCGTTGGTACTTACCTGATACGCTCATTCTCACTGCAGGTGGAGACAGCAGTCACGTAGGGTTAACTCTGTCCAGTAACCAATAGGGCTGAGTCTACAGATTAAAAACTATCCTCCTTGCTGCTCTTCCCCAGCTTTAGACGAAGAAAACTGTAGACTGAAGTGTAGGTGATATGGAGGAGTAGAATAAAGGAAAACCAGACAACAGAAAGAAAAGGCAGACCTAACCCCATTAAGGTTGAAACCAGACTGGAACAGAGTGGGGGTTCCAACTCTGCTATTGTATTGTATTGTATTATTGTATTATATTGTATTGTTGTATTGTATTGTATTATTGTATTGTGTCGTGTCGTGTCGTGTCGTGTCTTGTCGTGTTGTGTATTGTATTGTATTATACTGTATTATACTATATTATATTATATTGTATGTCGTGCATCGGCTTACCAATTTTTTAGCCATAGTAATCGCCTGGAGGTGACTGTGGAAGCAATAGCTTTTGAAGCAAAGCGAGCTGCGTCAAGCGCAGCATCAGCTGAAAACTCGAGAGCTGCTTTTAGTTTGTTTAAATCCCTGTGGGCCCTAGTGTCCTTATTTGGAATCCTGCTCTGAAGTTGTTTTAGCCGAAGAAGAGCAGATCTGCTAAAAAATGAGGAAGAAATAGAAGCCCTGATAGACCAGGCAGAGGCCTGATAACCTTTGACAAGCATTTGTTCTAAACGCTTGTCTTCAGGTTTAAGCGAATCCTCTGGAGCACTGGCAGCTGCATTAGGACCTATATTACAATTAGACCTACTACCGGTAGGTCGATGGCTGGAAGGTCGAGAGCCTTAACTAAGGCAGGCCCTACATTATACAAGTGCTTATCAAGTGAATTAGGAAGAGGACCGGTGCCAGGAGAGGCCCATTGCCTTTGCACCACGTTCATAAAAATTCTAGGGGAAGGAACCACCTCCTTCTCAACGGTGGGTTCTAGGAAAAGAGGATCCTCAGAATTGCCCGTTTCTGGGGCCGCAGGCTTAATAGCCGGGATAGGCTTAAAGCCAGCAATCCCTTTAGCCTTAAACAGCAAGGATCAGAAAAGATCCGGTTTAAACAACCCCACAAAGGCTGGTTGGTCAGGGCCCAGCTCCTCATCCTCAGAGAGATCAGACTCTCTGGGAGGCTGCTCATCCTCATCTCCTGCCATAGAAGACCTAGAAGCTGAATGATCAGCAGTATTCTTATCAGAAGAATGTTTCTTTTTGCTCTTGGATTTAGATCTCTCCGATCTAGATTTAGAACTGTGGCCAGAGAATTTCTTACGTTTGAGGCCCACAGCTATATATTTTTCAATTGCTGAAGAGATAATAGCAGCTACATCAGGGGTAATAGTAGGAGGAGTAGCAGGGGTTGGTTTAAACCCCAAGAACCCCGGGGGAAGCGGAGACCTGATCTGCCACAGGAGAAGGGCCTGCACCCTCTAAGGAGTCATCCTCACTTTGAGGGGAATCAAAAAACCCTGTACCATCTCCTATCTGGGAAGAAGAACCAGGTTCAGAAAGAGAAACCTCGGAATCAGAAGAAAGACCCACAGGAGGGGGGCTATCATGAGTGACAGGGATCACCTGGAATGGATGAGGACTCTGTCTGCCACCTTGCTTGTCAGAAGAAGCACTGCGATCTGCAGACCTAGAATGGGATTGGCCCCCTTTTTTGGCTGACATGAGCCTTTGCTGGAGGCTCCTCACTTGCTCCAGTAGTCACTGCCCTACTTTTGGAAGATTTAGCAGAAAAAGGACCAGCCACAGGGCTATCTGGTGGAGAGGCCCGAGGAGAGGCCATTGCCTCCTCTCCTGCATTAGAAGCCATAATCAAGGTAAAGGAAACAGCTACCCTCAAGGTTAACGCTGACAGGGAGCCCTGTTACTGACTGTTGGCTTCAAAATGGTGCCGGCTGCTGTTCGTGCCAAAATAAACTGCTACACTTTTTTTCCCTTGCCTCAAAATGGCGTCCGTCCTCTTCTATCTCTTTCTGACTGCTCCCGGCTGGTCTGAGGGCTTCGAAAACACTGCATAGTGGTTCAGACAGAGGCCGCAGTGTTCCCACCGTTGGGCATGCCAACAGGGCACTCACAAGCCGCCTGGAATCCTCAGGGAACGCCCGCGCCTCTCCGCTGATTTGGAGCCTCCGGAGCTCGTTACGGCAGAAAAAAAGCATCCGACGTTCGGAAAGGGTTTTAAGCAGCCACGTGGTGGTCCCGCGGCGTGGGGCAAAGCGCCAGACTATTTGAATGACTCCCCTCTGCCTGGAAGATCTTATTGATGGCAGAGTATAAAGTTTAAATTTAATTTAGAATTTCCAATTAATAAAGATGAATTTTTGAAGAGAGAGAAGTCATCTACATGTCCAGCCCAAAACTGACTGAGTCTAAAGCTGGGGAAGAGCAGCAAGGAGGATGGCTTTTAATCTACAGGGCGGGGCATAACCTTTTCCTAGGGGGTCACAGCAAGATCGACAGCAGTTTACAACTTCCGCGACACCTCATTTTAA